CCTCACTCCTCCCTTCCATCCTTGCCCTCTTCCCTCCTCCGTCCACTTACCTCCTCGCTCGTCGCGTAAGCTCCGTACTGTACTTCCCGCCGTGACAATGCTCGTAGTGCTGCCAAAAATGTTTGCACCTGCATCACCATCCACTCACCATCCATCACATGCTCCACAACATCTCCCCTCCACGTCCCCACTCCCGCAAACTCCACCGCCCACAAAAACAAACCTCTCCCCCAACCCCACCACCTCATACCCCCACACCCATACCTTCTCCAGACTCGATGTCAGCTTGAACGTCAAGTACAACCCCGTCGTCAGCGATGAGAATAGGTTCCCATAACTCTTGTTCAAGAAAAACCTGTACCACACCGGTCCTGGTAGCAAAGCCCGGTACAACAGCAGCACATACTCCACCAGCGTCAACAGCTGAGCCTGCACCCACACGCACCACACCACCCTCAGCACCCTCTCCACATTTCTCACCGTCCATCATCCCCCCACCTGCACGCGCACGTTCCCCCCGCCCCTCCTGTCCCCTCCTCATACCCGCTCGCATCACGTCCCACCACAAACCCTCCCCTTCTCTCTCTCTCTCTCTCTCTCTCTCACTCACTCCCCTGCTCACCTGTCGACGGTAGTTCCGCCCTCTGATGTCCTTGTACCAGATCAGCACCCCGCATTTGAATACCATTGCCGCCTGCCTTGCCACCGTGTCTACACATTCCACTCCACACCCCGACGTCAGCCCCCCATCATTCCTCCACTCTCAACGTTCCGGCACCCGCTTCAACCTCCCACCACTCTTCCACGCGCCTCCCACCACCCTTACAACCTCACTCCTTCCCCCTCAATCTACACTCCTACCTCTCCAACATGCGTCACCCATTCCTCCCTTCCACGTGCACTCATACCCCCCCCCAATCACAACACATGCCCACACCTAAACACACCTTCGCAGATCCCGTCATCATGCATAACACCACCAATACCAACAACAACGACGACGACGACGACGACGACGACGAAAACAACATAATTAACCAAGTCAGATCGGCTACCGTTCACCACAATGATGAATATGGCATCCCAAAATGGAGGAATCTCCCGCGGCGGAAAAAGCACCAGTGGCCGCCACAATGCTTCTCCACTATACCACCAATACACCCCGATTACGTGCACCACCAGTCCCCATCCCACGGCCACCAGCACGCCAGGCTTCCGCTCGTTCTGTCCGCAACCACAACTCCCACCGTCATTCTCCTGCATCTCACTCTCATCCGTCTCTACCATACCGCTCAACCCCACTACCTCATCGCCTCCACCTCAAAACCACTTCCACTTCTTCGCCAGCACCTCCTCACAAACAAGTCATGCCCACCATCACCGCCCCCACCCCCACCACCCTCGCTCTTACCTTCAACGCTGTCTGCTTCCGCAGCACGTCGTTTGCCTTGAACATCACAGCCGTAATCCAGAACACCACAAAAAACCCTGCAACACGTACAACCGCCACACGTTATCTCCCGCCCCTGTCTCCCCCGCACCGCAACCGTTCCCATTCCTCCTCCCACCCATGCCATGCCATGCCGTCCCATCCCATCACACCACTCACCTTGCAAATGCTGTCGAATGAACACCATCAACAGCAGTATCGTGAATGGCAACACCTGCTCGATCCACCGCGCCAGCTGCTGAAAATCGTACCTTTGCGACCCGCCTTCTCTCCCATTCCCACCCGCCTCGTTGTCCAAACCCTCCCCTCTCTCCTCTCCGCCTGATGCATGTCCTATGCTCCCACCTACACTCCCACCTGTGCTCCCACCTATGCTCCCGCTGCTCTCGTTGCCCGCTATCCGCATCGGAACAACACCGCCCACCGACTGCGGGCTGCTCGACCCTGTCCCGTTCCTCGCACTCGCGACTCCTGGACCACTCGACACCTGCACCGGCTCCGACTCCCCCACCCCAAATATCCTGATCGATACCTCCGCGCCTCCGTCGCCCCCTCTCCCACCCTCCGAGCTTCGCCCCGCTGAACCACCCGATGCACCGCCCGCTTGCTCGCCCTCCGATGCATTGCCTCGCCCGCGCAGCAGCCCCGTCAACTCCAGCAACGCCGACACAGGACCCGGCAAGAAGTTCGCCGAACTCAGCTGCATCCCATACCTCCTCGACGCACCGTTACTTCGATGCACTTCTGATCCCGATCCCGAGCTCTCCATCTTCCTCCCACTCTTCCACCACGTCTCACATCACCCACGCAGATCACCTCCTCCTCCTCCTCCTTCCCCTACCCAACACCACTCCGCTCCTGATGTTATTCCCTGCGTGTCTGCGCCACGCACGTCCTCGCCTCCAGCTCCAGTTCGATCATCCGTCCCACTGCTGCTGCGTCTTCAATCCTCCACCGATACCTCCTCCACACTCCCGACTCATCAAACCCTGCCACCGTCTTGTGCAAAACTGGACTGCCCCCCCACCACCACATCATCAGTTCCCACTCACACCACCTCAAATCCTCCTGTCCTCATCCACTCCTACCCTCACTCCACACCGACGTGCCTTTCCACCCCGCCTTCGCACCCCCGCCCGCCATCCACAAATCACCACCTCTGCACTCAATTCCGCATGCCAACTTTCTCATCCAACCTCCCACTCACTAACAACCTCGCCCTACGCCCAACCGTCTCCTCTACACAACCTCCGCCACATCAAATCCGCTGCTCATCATGCAACCCTCCACACCCTGGCCCCAAAACCAAATCGAAACCCCTCACACCACACACACACACACACCGTTCACAGCGATCCATGAAATCCACCAATCCGATCATTCACACCTTCACCAGGTGGTCGTCCAACATACATACATCCCCTACACGATTCGCACCCAACCATCATGCTCCCCAGCTTACCGGGGACTCCGGAAACACCCGCAATTCCGTAACCAATTCCCTAACCACACCTGCGTTCCCTCGCCACTGCCTGCAAGCGTCCCTCATACCGCCACCAAACTCCTCAAACCACACCAGTTCCTCCGCGCTGCAACATGCCCACATGCGCTTTCCCAAACGCCTGCCCGAATTCCACTGCCCCGCAACTGCTCCCGTGTCTGTCTTTGTGAGCGTGTGTGTGCAAATCCGTGCTCGCAATCCCCGAAACCCTAGTTCACCGACACCACTCTGCTCCACAACCGAGACTCACCCGCGACCACTGCGATCTGTACCACACCTCCCCACCCTTGTTTCACCGCGAGTACCACGCCCACACCGGAATTGCCACGCTCCACTCCTCGACACGCCTCCAGCAACGGAAACGATCCTCCGCTGAGGCTGCCAACAGAACACACGCGACTCCCGCAGCCCCGCAATCGAAATTCAAACCCTGGCTCGCCTTCCAATCTGCCAACTAACTAAGGCAAACACCACAGGCAGTATCTTCCATCCATCCCGCTCCACCACGCACTCCGTCGCCCTGCTGGCTACCACAAACCCTCAGCAAATCAGTCCAGACTCGAAGCCAGTCGACCGAACCATCCACGCTGCCAAACCTGCCAGATCGGAGCTTCCTTAATGGCGTGCCTGCACACACTACCCCCCTGCACCTCCGCCCTCCGCCCTCCACGGTGGACTCTGCCACCATCCCCCCCCCCCTCCCCCCCTCTGCTTAGGAGTTTTTTTTAGATTTGTCTACTTTTGGGAAGATGTGTGTAGGAGCCCAATTTTATTGGAATCAATCTTGGAGGATTGTGGTTGCGAAGTTGTTCTTAGATTCAATCGAGCCTTAGATTCTTTTGATCACCCTGAGTATTTTGCATTAACGTGCAATTTTTGATGTAGTTGTTTGCGGATGCTTGGATTATTGAAATAAGGTTCTATCGTGTTGTTGTGTTTGATACAAGGTTGATTTTTGTTTTGGTTTATATCATTACCTTTAATCAGTTATGTCTCTGTATGCATCTTAAAATGTCAATCTTCCTTTATTATTTGATACATATATATTTATATTTTTTTATGTGTTTTGACATTCACTGTATTATATGTTGAAAGTTTTTGGAACTTTGACAAATCGAATCTTTTATGTTCTATGACAATCTTCAATACATACACCATAGACATGTTGGCATCCTATAAAGGAACGTTGCTGAGTTTATCCAGACATTTTCGCTGTGTAACACAGCATATATTTTGAAGAATTATGTGTGATTGTTTGTAATATTTTCTCACGAAGCTATTTACACTCCTGGTCTAATAATATTTCCTGGTTTACCCAACGGTTGCATTTAGTTAAACCATCCACGCTGACCAAGTATTTATCACTAATGCCTCATTTTCTTGTAACTTACTTTCGCTAAAGTTCTTATTGGAGTCACCAGTATAGCTACCTATTAATTCTGTAAATTATTGTACTATTCTATTTCTGTAAAATTATTATAAAAATAACAAATACTATATGGACAACCCGCAGCATTTCCAATACTGGTGGTCTATCAATTATTCACATTGTTGAGAATTTCTAACACTATAGATGAAATTTGTATATAATAAAATTTGGATACAGCAAAAATTACAGCAAAAATTGCATGTTAATGTAGAATTTTTAATGAGATTGTCTTGTACATGCCTCTTTAACATGAGACAATAGGGGGGTGTGTATTATTAATTCCTCGTTAGACATACTGATTATTGTACTAGTTTATCTATCCTTAAGGTTATTTCAGGGTAGATACAAACAATAAGATATGGATTCCTTCGATGTCACCAAGTTAAAGAGTGCTCTTGAGGATGTTGGTGTCCAACTCAGTTGGGCCTCGTGCCAAAACTTCATTGCAAACTTGATAGAGCAAATACCAGATCTTGAAGCTCACACTGACATTATAAACAGTGTAGCATCAAGAACGTTTCAATCTGCTGATATCTCCATCGTAATAGGATCTAGCTCTAAACCCTCTAGAAACGATGCAGAAACGTGCCAGAAGGTACTTCAAAGTGGTGCCAACAAGGGTAGGAAGTGTTCTCTTCCAAGGACTATAAACTCTGAGTTCTGTAAGAGGCATCTGAATATGATGATGAAGGCTGATGGACTCCTTAATGACACTAAGCAGAAACAAATAAATAGCTTTCGTGATGTCATTGGTGCAAAGAGACAGCAAAGGAGATTACCAGCAGAGATGAAGCTACGAGCTATTGAGCATATGGAAGACGTATACGTTGATCTAAACACCAAGCTCATATTTGCTGAGATCGATAATAAGATGATGGCTATTGGACATATGTATGATGATGAGATGACACTTCTATCGAAGAAGGATATCAAGATTTGTGACCTTAACGGATGGGAGTATAGATTAAATCTAGAAAAAAAAAAAGTGTTTTTTTATGTACTTTTTGTTACTAAAAGAGATGCTAGCTTTTGTATCTGACCTTGTGTTATGAACTCTCCTTTGTTCTTGTCGTACAAATCTTGTATCTGGTCTTCTGAAAAGAGATTCTGAAGTGTAGAGTCAAGTACTATTCGCCTTCTATTCTTCTCTAGATTGTTTGATATGTATATCCTAAACAACTTTGATGCAGATGACAATGATGATTGATTGTCTTTGACTTTGATAGCTGTAACATTTGCACCTTGTCGCTTGAGTATGTTCAAGAGCTTAATAAAGGAACCTGTGACATTCCTAGGAGTATCAAACTGGTTTGCTCTTTCTTGTTGCTTCTTAACTACTCTTCCATCAAGAAACTTATCAAGAGGTTTAGTAATAAGAGCTTCAAAGTTTGCACTGCTGATATTACTAATGTTGTTGGTGTTCTTTAGTTGCTTAAGAAGATCAATCGCTACAAGCATGTTTCTGTTAATTGTTCGAGATACAACATACTTGATCTTTTCCTTGGAAAGGACTTTCTTTGGAGTGTAGGTGAATACCTCTGATGTATCTATCTCTTCAGCCTTCTGTGAAAGGTACTTGTAAGACTTTTGTAGAGGTGAAGAATGCACCTTCTTAGATGCTCTGCTTAGTAGCATGGGTGTTAATGTTAATATTTTATGTCTGGTGTCCATGATGATAAGTGCTTGTAACAACAGCAGATGGTGCTTCTTTGTAGCACATAATAAAAAAATCAGTGGTACTAACAGATAAAAAAAAATCTATTATATTACAACTAGCTTACTACTCCATTAAGTCTACTTTGTCCTTATTATCACTAGAGACTCATACATGTAAGACAATAAATACTCATTAGAAGACATAAACCTGTTCATGTTAAGTCTATTTTTTGTTTCCAACTTAAATCCTATATTGATGAACTGCTCAATCAGCTTATCTACGTCTACTAAATCTTCTACTTGATTTCTTACGATGGTGTTAGGAATATGTATGTATATCTTACTATTACCTTCTAATCTGATAGAATATGCTTCACATATATATTCTTTTACTTTTCTTGCTTTGAAGAATTCCATTATGTACTTCTTGGATATAACAATACATAGAAATACACATTTATGCTTATCAGAGAATGTCCTTTGAGCAATTCTGATAAGCTTGTCAATGTCGATAAGAGTAATACAGAAGAAACATGATAATGTTGTTATGGACTTTTCAAATCCTCTTAAGTGTTCTATTCTTGTTTGTATCACTCTTACCCTCTTGTTAGTACCAAGCCTTCTCTTAAGCTCCTTGACATTATTATAAGATGGATCCACACACGTAATGCTTTTATAATGATTCCACTTTATAATGTCCCCTCCAAATCCTGATCCAACATCTAGCAAATGACCAGCTCTTTTCTTTAGAAGATCTCTTTTAACTTCATTGTGATAGGACCTCATCATGGAAACCGTTAGTCCTTCAAAGATATTAAACATATTCTTTTCTTCTCTTGTTATCTTTTTGATCCTCTCTACTACTGCAACAAGATTTGGATACGTCTTGTCTTCTCTCTCTCTTAGTAATGTTACAGTTCCATTGGGGTTTACAATAAATTCTGAGATAGCATTTTCTTTTGGTTCTGTACTATCTTGTGATATCTTGAGCCCAGAATCTACATTTTCCTTTTTGTTATATGCCATTAAGGCTTTCTCTTCATACAATAGATCAACAGTCTTCTGAGGTTTCCATCTCATAACAGGATCAAGATAAGATTGAGAGTGTGTGTATATTAGACCATCATATTTACTTTCTTGAATTTGCTTTTCTAGTATCTGATGCTGTCTAGAGAATGCAGAGAATGTCTTAAATATGAAATGCCTCTTTGCA